GAGAGGTGCTAACAGTATTTCAAGATCGTCACTTTCATCATTTGGACAACAAAAAATTTTTTGCAGGGTGCTAACATCATTTTGAGATCGTCACTTTCATCATTTTGAAATGGAAATCACTTCCACACCCCCCCCCCCCCCATTAATTTTGCCCCGCTATACACGGATCCCTGGATGCGTTGGTTCCTTTTCCCAATGTTCGTTATGAGACGACCCCTGGTTTTGTGTCATCTCACGCAAAGCATGTCAGTATCTCAAAACGATAAACTCGACATGCAAAATGATAAAACGACTTTGCAGAAAATACTTTTCTCTCAAAATTATGAAAGTGACGATCTGAAATATACTGTACATGTACGTTAAATAACATTGACAAAACTGAAATTTAATAATTTTGAACAAATTCACATAATCTAGGAAAAATATTTGTATAAGCGCAGCGCTGGTTTTTAAAACAATCAAACTTGGATAATATTTCCTTAAAGCATGAGTTTTTATCGATGTTTTTTTAAATTTTTTTGCTTTATTGATATTCTGTTGGTCAAGGGTGGTTCTTTTCCAGATGTCAGGAGAATATATTATTATTGGAAAGAATATAGTTTTTCATTATTTATTTTTAGGTTATTTTAAATTGAGTCAAACTCCAATGACATGTGCATGCATTTTGTTCACCCTGCAAGCAACAACTTGAACCATTTTTATCGTGTCAGCAAGGTCATTTGCAAATAGCTTTTATCAGCGCATTGCGTTAGTAAGCATCTATAAAGTCACTAAGTCAAACTGAATAAGCATGTTTTATATATTATGCTGATTCAGTGCAGCTGCCATCACCATCACTGATGTGACACATTCCTTTGTGCATGAATTTAGTGACAGGCGGAGAGTGCGTTAATGGGAAAACCAGTATTAGCCAGTATTAGCCGGTTATTTATTAACCGCTCCCCGTTCACTCTCAGACAGTAGGTTCAAAGCAAGGATTCGCCTTATTCATATAGACCATAGGCCTAATTATGTTCATATCTTAACTATGTAAATTTATTAATTTTTTATATTCTTTTTCATATTATGTGAAAAATTGCAGTGGTTAAAACCCCCCTAAAAACCTCTGTTCTGTTTTAAATAAATGGGTCATCCATTTCTAAATAAGGGATGTCATATGGCCCTGCAAAAGGTTGAAAGGTCAAAAAGATATCTCTATATGGAGATAGGCGTTACCAAATCACTCAATCAAAATTTCGTTACTTAGCAACAACGGCTGACATCCAACGGATGACAGCAACGTATAAAAGGAAGCTGCATTTGAATGTTCATCAGTTAAAGCGGTAAAAAGGGGGAATCTGATTTAAATTCACTAGATATAAGTCCATCAAAACCGTTGACCAAAAATGCGTGAAATAGTTCATCTGCAAGCAGGCCAGTGTGGCAATCAAATCGGGGCAAAGGTACGTACCTTGGACAATACTGCATAAAAGCATATCTGATAAAGAGCACTATAATCATGCGAATAGAAAAAATATTGATTTATAATTTTAGAGACCGCTCTATTTTTCAGCAACATGTATTGTTTAATATCTAGTCCCGTGTGCTAACAGTTATATCATCTTATTACAGTCCTACTTGATTTCATTTAGACAACAGACACGTAGATTTTTAAAAGGGGTGAAGAACTAGAATTCAATACTCAGACTTAGCCCAGTCTTTACAAAATTGGGTGCTACGGAAGTTTATACTTCGGTCAATATTCCTTTAGTTTGTTTATTTAAAAGGCATTTTGGATTTTAGATTTTAAAAGGCCTTATTGATTAAATTCTTGAATTTATTTTTAGTTTTGGGAGGTGATCTCAGATGAGCATGGCATTGATCCAACAGGCACCTACCATGGCGATTCAGATCTGCAATTGGAAAGAATCAACGTGTATTACAATGAAGCAACAGGTGGAAAATATGTTCCCCGTGCAGTGCTTGTGGATTTGGAGCCTGGAACCATGGACTCCGTCAGATCTGGACCTTTTGGACAAATATTTAGACCAGATAACTTCGTCTTTGGTATGTTTGTTTCAAATATATGAAGAATAGTTCAAAAATTTATCAACTGTAAAAAATGTTGCAAAAATAAGGGACCATTCCCACAGATATTTGGATCGATCTATCTCCCTGGGGAGTCTCACTAAATTGCTATTAAACTAACCAGCTTAAAGGTCTGTCACGCCTAGTAAAGGGGTAATTATATTTACCCCTAGCTGATTCAGTAGGCGTGACAGACATTTAAGTCTCTTGAGCTGATAGCAATTTAGCGTGGACCCCCAGGGAGTTAGGTCGATCCAAATGGATTGATCCAAGTATGGGAACCCAGTCTAATTTAAGCAATTTTGCTACTCTCACTTATTGTATTGGGAGGATTTTATTTATCCCTATTTTCTATATAGTGTGGCAGCATGTTCATATTGCTTTTTCTATTCCGTAGGTCAGAGTGGTGCTGGAAACAATTGGGCCAAAGGTCACTACACAGAAGGTGCTGAACTTGTAGACTCTGTATTAGATGTGGTGCGAAAAGAGGCAGAAAGCTGTGACTGTCTTCAAGGCTTTCAACTCACACATTCTCTTGGTGGTGGAACTGGCTCTGGAATGGGAACTCTTCTCATCAGCAAGATTCGTGAAGAATACCCTGACAGAATCATGAATACATTCTCTGTAGTGCCATCTCCTAAAGTATCAGACACTGTAGTCGAGCCATACAATGCTACCCTGTCTGTGCATCAGCTCGTTGAAAATACAGATGAAACTTACTGTATTGACAATGAGGCTCTGTATGACATTTGTTTCCGCACATTGAAACTAACAACCCCAACTTATGGCGATTTGAATCATCTTGTATCAGCCACTATGTCTGGTGTCACAACATGTCTCCGCTTCCCAGGCCAGCTGAATGCAGATCTGCGTAAATTGGCTGTAAACATGGTACCGTTCCCCCGACTCCACTTCTTCATGCCAGGGTTTGCTCCTCTCACATCTCGTGGTAGCCAGCAGTATCGTGCTCTGACTGTCCCTGAGCTAACCCAGCAGATGTTTGATGCCAAGAACATGATGGCTGCTTGCGATCCTCGCCATGGACGCTACCTTACTGTTGCTGCTATGTTCCGTGGTCGCATGTCTATGAAGGAAGTTGACGAGCAGATGCTGAATGTGCAGAACAAAAACAGCAGCTACTTTGTTGAATGGATTCCCAACAATGTGAAGACTGCAGTCTGCGACATTCCACCTCGTGGATTGAAAATGTCTGCCACCTTCATCGGTAACAGTACTGCTATCCAAGAGCTGTTTAAGCGTATCTCTGAGCAGTTCACCGCTATGTTCCGGCGCAAGGCTTTCTTACATTGGTACACTGGTGAGGGTATGGATGAGATGGAATTCACTGAAGCAGAGTCCAACATGAATGATCTGGTGTCTGAATACCAGCAGTATCAGGATGCAACTGCAGAAGAAGAGGGTGAATTTGATGAAGAGGAAGAAGAGGAGATGTAATGGGTTAAGACTGAATATTGAAAATGTTGACTGTCAACTCCATTTGAGACTAAAAGAATGAACATTTTTTATCTAGTCACTATTCAGAGTTGTGAAAATGTGTAGATTGCATTCATGTTTGATGTGGATTTTTATCCTGCATGAATAAAAAATACTTCAACTTATTTTATGTTTTAAGGGACCAGTCTTTTGTTGAATGTGAAATGAGAGGATGATGTACACTCTTTTTAAATTGGTTGGATTTCAATTTGACACGATTTCCCCTTGTGCATAAAAATTGATGTGCTGTTTAGACTGCACATTTTGGATTAATTTTCCTTGTCCATTTTACTACTAACACAGATGGATTCCTACAATCTACATAATCATAATTGTACCCAGAAAATTGAAGAATGCCTGTTTTAAAAATGACAAATTTGTGTAATGTATGGCAGACGAATTGACTTAGTTGTGACATCTTTGCTGCCCCCCCCCCCCCCCCAAAAAAAAAAAAAAAAATGCTGTCTGGCAATAAGGTACCATTGCTTCACTTAAATCCAGCTTGGACATAATAACAAGTCCAAGAATCCAGCAAGGGGTTTCAATAATAATAATCTTTATTGAAATATTGCAACCCTAAGGTTGAAGTTATACATACATATATATATATATATATATATATATATATATATATATATATATATATATATACTTTTTTATTTATTTTTAAAGAAATTTATTTTTAAATCTGAGAAGCCTGGTCATTTTTGGCCCTGTTGCACTCTACAGTATAGTCGCTCTCACCTCCCCAATTCAGTTTCTTTATTTCTCCATTCCCAATATCCATGTTATACCGATTTGCTTTATACACCTTGAAATTCAGAGTTCTGACGTTAATTTAGCCATTAGAATCTGGAAACAGCCAGTCACTGTTATGGGTAAAGCGATACATTTCCAAAAGATCAAAATCCGGATAGTTGTACATGACAAATGTAATATTAAAAAACCTTGTGCATATGTCGTCACACGGGGAACGACTTATGCCCCTATTTCACACAGACCACGAATCCCAAGAATCGCCAGGAATTGACAGATTTCAGGATTCGTGAGAATTCGTGAGATTTTGCAAATTTTCTGGCTAATTCGACACGTTCTACGTTTCAGTTACGATACAGGTGCGATAGTGTTACGAATATACGTGGGATTCGGCTGGAATCGCACGAATATTGTCAAAAAGTTCACTACGATTTTTTGGAATCGGGAGTTCGTGGCCATATGAAGAAAAAAAGTGAAAGAACCCCTCGGGCAATCCACAACCAGTATTCATTTTGTTCAAGAAAAGTGGCTTGTGTGTGAAGTTGACACGAGAAAACGAGAACGAAACTTATTTCCCGCTGCATTAAGTGCATGCAAAGATAAATTAAATGAAAAAAATGCATAATGTTCACGTAGCCCGAATAAGAATTATTTTTGTACGTGTAGCAATGCACTCGCGCTCAGCCCGTTGATGAAATAAAACGTTTTCTTATTCAACAAGGTCATGCATGGAGTATACATAGTGATTTTAAAATACTTATTTTAATCGGGATTTTTGAATTTCGGTTGACAGGTGCGCTTTTACTATGTTGTTTAATGTGATTCTGAGATACATCTGTTGAAGGTGAAAGACAAAAATGATTGCATTACTCCAGTTTTAAAAAGTTTAAAACCGAAGAGATTATTTTAATTAATAAATAATGTGGTTGGACAATGGTGCACAAATTATTCTTTTTTTTATTACGAGGAACATAGGCACACAGAACTTTATTTCGTTATTCTAGTTTCCGTAAGCACAACTACGACTTTTTCAAAGTTTCAGAGAAAAACATCGTAGTGCAAGTTTTCTGCAAGTCCCTCCCCCGTCGAACTCATCTGTCAGATTGATAACCACGTGATATGGTATATTTGGGTGTTAGCGCAAGCGCTGCACACTATACATATTAAGCAGATGATTCATAGCAGCAGTAGCAGCGAGAACATCAGCAGCAACAGTTGAGCCCAGCCTTTCTAAGACCCAGACACCAGACAAACACGAGACAACTATGCGCGAAATCGTCCACCTCCAAGCTGGCCAGTGCGGGAACCAGATAGGGTCTAAAGTAAGTTAGGATCAAGACAGCGCTGCTAGAAAAACGCAGCCTCTCCCTAAAGATATAGATAGAAGATGTTTGACCTGATGACGCATCAGTGCTTCCAACTCTATGGCTTTGGTTAAATAATGTTTTTGTATGCGGGTTTTCATAGACCGGCTACTTTGCATGCTGTGACTCGAGAAAGCATTTCATTACCGTCTATAGACAGAGCTACAGGTATTACTAGCATTCGCCTCAGCTACGTTACATTTTTACAGGTAATTTACCCATTTTATTGACGTCGAGTCATATTAAAAATTACAACATTTATTTGTCATTCTTAAAAACTGCTGCAGACAAAAAATCACTTTATTTTCTGTTTAAAAATATTAGCACAAAAAAGGTGCAAATAACCTTTAAGATGATAGGCCAATAATTCAACATCTTGTAATTGAAGAAAAATATATGTGAAAAATACGATAACAGCAGTGAATGCATCTCTTAGCTGCACCTGCTGATTATCAGCAAATGAGGTATTAAAACATTGCAGACAGAAAGATCCTGAAACATGAATGAACAATTATAAATCTGTTTTAATAAAAATAAAAAAGTTCATAAATATAAAGAGGTGTCCCAGGATTAGACCAAATAGCCAGGCTGAACCAGTAATAACCAGTTAAGGGTCCTTGGCCTAAGAAAACTGGAGAGGATGAAAATAGTATCCCACATATTTCTATATACAGGTGCAAGTGTAGGCAAAACCCATTGATTTTTGAGGAAGAGTAATCCAGTTACTTAACCCTGAAAGATGGACCATATGTGTCTTCAGCATACAAAGAAGCAATTAACACACCCTTTTTCTGTTAGATTATTAAGTGGGAGATAGAAGAATACAAAATTAGTTAAAACAGTTTTCTCTATTAGGGAAAGATTCCCATTCATTCATATCTTTATTCATTCATTCATGTCTGTAATAGGCTTACAGGTGCAGGTCGTAAATAGTAAAAGATAAATATATACTGGAAAAAAATAATCACTTACGTGATGAACATTCAGGGTATGTCTAGATAACTTGCTATAACTAGCCTGATCAAGACAAGATGTTGCCAAAAATTAATTGCAGGCTTCAGTCTGCAGGTATGAACTGGTGTGCTAAATTATATAGAATATTAGTTTGCATTATTTACTTGGTGAAATGGTGTGTTAAAAGAGAGTAATTTTTCATGCTGGTCAAGCCTGCTGGAAAAAGTTCAGTGCATAAGCCTATGGAATGAGGCAGACACATTGATGCACTCATTACTCTGAATTCTTTTGCCCTTGGAAAGGGTTAAAAAGTCAACAATGGCTCTCTTTTTTTGTAGGCAGAGTGAAATACATATAATGTACATTTAATAACTTGATTACCTTACAATAAATACATTTAATTGAACCACTGGAAGCAAGGTCACTAGTAAACAACAATATAATCTGTGGAGATTTACCAAGGTCATGATATGTGGTGAATTGTGAGAAAGGAAGAACAAAGAATATAGAGATACATTTAAGGGGAAACTAGCCTGAAGTTAAACTGTAGTTTGGTAATTAATCATCCTTATTTTCCAGTTTTGGGAGGTGATCTCAGATGAGCATGGCATTGACCCAACAGGCTCATACCATGGTGATTCAGATCTGCAGTTAGAAAGGATCAGTGTGTATTATAATGAGGCATCAGGTGAGCTTTTTTATGACCAGGGATTAGTTATGGTAAAAACTCATTAAAATTGAACAAAATGAATAAAATTTCCACAAAACACCGTCTTAGTCGTAAGTTTTATTTTTAAATTATTTGAGTCTAAAGTTTTGAAGTTGCATGTTTGGCTTTGCGTCCTAATGTTATATGACTAAATAGAAAATTATAAAGTTTGAAAAATTGAAGAATGAGATGAAGGAGGTGTTTGAAATTGGTGAGTAATTACCGTTTAATCTGTGTGCATTTTAACATGGTATCAGGTAAGCTAATCATGTGTGAGCTTGGGTGGTACCCTCATCAGTGAGACAGACACTCGGTGACATCCAAGTGTGAACAGAATATTGGGGACTTCATTGAAACCAAAGGGCAATTCATTTACACACATTCTTATTCATATGAGGAATTTAGTAGGAACCAATTCTTTATGCAGATAAAGTATACATGAGCTCTATTGTCACAGACTGTTTCCCCTCCATTATGGCAAATGCATGTTATGATATGTGACAAATATTAATAAAAATAGACAAATGCAAAAACAAGGAAGTTTTAATATAGAACTACAAAAGATTGTCAAATCAAGTGTTAGAACCAAATTGTATAATTCTCCAATGACTGGATATTCAGAATGCCAGACAAGCGGACAGGCATGCATAATTTGTTTTAAAGCAGCGTAATGTTGTATATGGATAGCATGGGTATGTTAATATGTGCAAAAATCAATACTGTCTGTAGCCAGAGTCTTAATGACGTGCACCATGTGGCAAGAAAGATAAGGTCATCAAGCAATTATAGAAATTGGATAAATATCTTGTATTNGTTATATATTTTCAGAGTGTGAACTTGATCTCCTATGGGGCTGAAGCCTTATGCTTGTTACACATTTTACTTACATTGGAATTACCTGTTGAGCATAATTAAAATTTGATGTTGAATTTGCAGTTTAACATAATGTACTTTTGCATCAGAATTGACTGTACCCTATTTTGTTTTTTTCCTTCTTTTTGTCTGTACATTTGACAGCTTTGCTGCCTTGTTTTATTTATTTTTAAATGAAATTTATGTTTAAATCTGAGAAGCCTGGTCATTTTTGGCCCTGTTGCACTCTATAGTCGTTCTCACCTCCCCAATTCAGTTTTTTTTATTTCGCCAGTCTTGGACTTTGATAGCAGAAACTCAATGTAACATTGAAGCAGCTGAAATGTGGTTCTACAGGCGAATGCTCCGAATCTCCTACATTGAGCATGTTACAAATGAAGAGGTCCTTAAACTTCTCAACACTGTCAGAAAGACAACTGAAGTTCTTGGGACATTGCATCAGAAAAGAGGGATTAGAAGATCTTAGCCTGAGCGGTAGAATACGTGTCAAAAGTGCCTGAGGCAGACATCGAAAGTCCTTACTTGACAATTTTGAATTACCAACAAGACGCCTTTAGTCATGGGCGAGAAATAGAACCCTTTGGCAGAATATCATCGTTCGTCAAACACCGAATCGGTGATGGCACATGAAGAAGAAGAATTCGCCTTTCCCAATATCCATGTTATACCGATTTGCTTTATACACCTTGAAATTCAGAGTTCTGACGTTAATTTAGCCATTAGAATCTGGAAGCAGCCAGTCACTGTTATGGGTAAAGCGATACATTTGCAAAAGATCAAAATCCGGATAGTTGTACATGACAAATGTAGACCAATATTAAAAAACCTGTGCATATGTCATCACACGGGGAACGTCTTACGCATGCATATGAAGAAAAAAAGTGAAAGAACCCCTCGGGCAATCCACAACCAGTATTCATTTTGTTCAATAAAAGTGGCTTGTGTGTGAAGTTGACACGAGAAAACGAGAACGAAACTTATTTCCCGCTGCATTAAGTGCATGCAAAGATAAATTAAATGAAAAAAATGCAGAATGTTCACGTAGCCCGAATAAGAATTATTTTTGTACGTGTAGCAATGCACTCGCGCTCAGCCCGTTGATGAACGTTTTCTTATTCAACAAGGTCATGCATGGAGTATACATAGTGATTTTTAAAATTACTTTTAAAATACTTATTTTGATCGGGATTTTTGAATTTAGGTTGACAGCTGCGCTTTTACTAAGTTGTTTAATGTGATTCTGAGATACATCTGATGAAGGTGAAAGACAAAAATTATTGCATTACTCCAGTTTTAAAAAGTTTAAAACCGAAGAGATTATTTTAATTATTAAATAATAAGGTCGGACAATGATGCACGAATTATTCTTTTTTTAATTACGAGGAACGTAGGCACACAGAACCTTATTTCGTTATTCTAGTTTCCGTAAGCACAACTACGACTTTTTCAAAGTTTCAGAGAAAAGCATCGTAGTGCAAGTTTTCTGCAAGTCCCTCCCCCGTCGAACTCATCTGTCAGATTGATAACCACGTGATATGGTATATTTGGGTGTTAGCGCAAGCGCTGCACACTATACATATTAAGCAGATGATTCATAGCAGCAGTAGCAGCGAGAACATCAGCAGCAACAGTTGAGCCCAGCCTTTCTAAGACCCAGACACCAGACAAACACGAGACAACTATGCGCGAAATCGTCCACCTCCAAGCTGGCCAGTGCGGGAACCAGATAGGGTCTAAAGTAAGTTAGGATCAAGACAGCGCTGTTAGAAAAACGCAGCCTCTCCCTAAAGATATAGATAGAAGATGTTTGACCTGATGACGCATCAGTGCTTCCAACTCTATGGCTTTGGTTAAATAATGTTTTTGTATGCGGGTTTTCATAGACCGGCTACTTTGCATGCTGTGACTCGAGAAAGCATTTCATTACCGTCTATAGACAGAGCTACAGGTATTACTAACATTCGCCTCAGCTACGTTACATTTTTACAGATAATTTACCCATTTTATTGACGTCGAGTCATATTAAAAATTACAACATTTATTTGTCATTCTTAAAAACTGCTGCAGACAAAAATCACTTTATTTTCAATTTAAAAATATTAGCACAAAAAAGGTGCAAATAACCTTTAAGATGATAGGCCTATAATTCAACATCTTGTAATTGAAGAAAAATATATGTGAAAAATACGATAACAGCAGTGAATACATCTCGGCTGCACCTGCTGATTATCAGCAAATGAGGTATTAAAACATTGCAGACAGAAAGATCCTAAAACATGAATGAACAATGACAAATGTGTTTTAATAAAAAATAAAAAAAGTTCATCAATATAAAGAGGTGTCCCAGGATTTGACCAAATAGCCAGGCTGAACCAGTAATAACCAGTTAAGGGTCCTTGGCCTAAGAAAACTGGAGAGGATGAAAATAGTATCCCACATATTTCTATATACAGGTGCAAGTGTGGGCAAAACCCATTGATTTTTGAGGAAGAGTAATCCAGTTACTTAACCCTGAAAGATGGACCATATGTGTCTTCAGCATACAAAGAAGCAATTAACACACCCTTTTTCTGTTAGATTATTAAGTGGCAGATAGAAGAATACAAAATTAGTTAAAACAGTTTTCTCTATTACGGAAAAATTCCCATTCATTCATCTCTTTATTCATTCATTCATGTCTGTAATAGGCTTACAGGTGCAGGTCGTAAATAGTAAAAGATAAATATATACTGGAAAAAAAATCACTTACGTGATGAACATTCAAGGTATGCCTAGATAACTTGCTATAACTAGCCTGATCAAGACAAGATGTTGCCAAAAATTAATTGCAGGCTTCAGTCTGCAGGTATGAACTGGTGTGCTAAATTATATAGAATATTAGTTTGCATTATTTACTTGCTGAAATGGTGTGTTAAAAGAGAGTAATTATTCATGCTGGTCAAGCCTGCTGGAAAAAGTTTAGTGCATAAGCCTATAGAATGAGGCAGGCACATTGATGCACTCATTACTCTGAATTCTTTTGCCCTTGGAAAGGGTTAAAAAGCCAACAATGGCTCTCTTTTATTGTAAGCAGAGTGAAATACATATAATGTACTCTTAATAACTTGATTACCTTACAATAAATGCATTTAATTGAAGCACTGGAAGCAAGGTCACTAGTAAACAACAATATAATCTGTGGAGATTTACCAAGGTCATGATATGTGGTGAATTGTGAGAAAGGAAGAACAAAGAATATAGAGATACATTTAAGGGGAAACTAGCCTGAGGTTAAACTGTAGTTTGGTAATTAATCATCCTTATTTTCCAGTTTTGGGAGGTGATCTCAGATGAGCATGGCATTGACCCAACAGGCTCATACCATGGTGATTCAGATCTGCAGTTAGAAAGAATCAGTGTGTATTATAATGAGGCATCAGGTGAGCTTTTTTATGACCAAAGATTAGTTATGGTAAAAACTCATTAAAATTGAACAAAATGAATAAAATTTCCACAAAACACTGTCTTAGTCGTAAGTTTTATTTTTAAATTATTTGAGTCTAAAGTTTTGAAGTTGCATGTTTGGCTTTGCGTCATAATGTTATATGACTAAATAGAAAATTATAAAGTTTGAAAAATTGAAGAATGAGACGAAGGAGGTGTTTGAAATTGGTGAGTAATTACCGTTTAATCTGTGTGCATTTTAACATGGTATCAGGTAAGCTAATCATGTGTGAGCTTGGGTGGTACCCTCATCAGTGAGACAGACACTCGGTGACATCCAAGTGTGAACAGAATATTGGGGACTTCATTGAAACCAAAGGGCAATTCATTTACACACATTCTTATTCATATGAGGAATTTAGTAGGAACCAATTCTTTATGCAGATAAAGTATAGATGAGCTCTATTGTCACAGACTGTTTCCCCTCCATTATGGCAAATGCATGTTATGATATGTGACAAATATTAATAAAAATAGACAAATGAAAAAACAAGGAAGTTTTAATATAGAACTACAAAAGATTGTCAAATCAAGTGTTAGAACCAAATTGTATAATTCTCCAATGACTGGATATTCAGAATGCCAGACAAGCGGACAGGCATGCATAATTTGTTTTAAAGCAGCGTAATGTTGTATATGGATAGCATGGGTATGTTAATATGTGCAAAAATCAATACTGTCTGTAGCCAGAGTCTTAATGACGTGCACCATGTGGCAAGAAAGATAAGGTCATCAAGCAATTATAGAAATTGGATAAATATCTTGTAATACAGTAAAAATACTCCAGTAGTGTGTGTGTCTGCGTGTGTGTGTGTGTGTGTGTGTGTGTGTGTGTGTGTGTGGAAATGTTAATTTAAAACACATTTTAAACTTGGCAGTATATCTAAAACAAAAACATTAAGGATGAAAAAGGATGATGCAAAGCATAAAAGAATGAAGATGGAAACAAAACTTGCTTCTCTTATAGTAAAAATATTGACATCAATCAACAAACTGAGAACAAAGATAGTAAATGAAGCTTGTTTGAAATTTCTTTCAGGAGGCAAATATGTTCCGCGTGCTGTACTGGTGGACCTGGAACCTGGGACCATGGACGCTGTGAGATCTGGACCATTTGGGCAGCTTTTCAGACCAGATAACTATGTATTTGGTAAGGTTTTTTTGTTTTTATTTTATTTTTTTTTTAAATTTATTTTTGTGACATGAAACATTTGTACTACTTTTCAGACCAATTAAGTGTGAATTTGGAAATCACATCAGATCTGGGCCATTATTATGTTTATGATCAGATAGTTCATAGAATTAGTTCAGTGTGGTCAGTCTCCTCAAATATTATATATCTGTTGAATGTTATTTCACTGTATGCTGTATTAACAGGTTTCAGCATTATCTTATCTACTCCTTTTTATCTCTTTGTGAAATACATGTGATTGCATTTATGAATGAAGGAAAGAGGAGGATCGTATTTTTTGGTTAAAACCTAAAAATTTGTTTATGCTTTTTCTGGTATATTTTCAGGTCAGAGTGGTGCTGGTAACAATTGGGCCAAAGGTCACTACACAGAAGGTGCTGAACTTGTGGACTCTGTATTAGATGTGGTGCGAAAAGAGTCAGAGAGTTGTGATTCTCTTCAGGGCTTCCAACTCACACATTCTCTTGGTGGTGGAACTGGGTCTGGAATGGGAACTCTTCTCATCAGCAAGATTCGTGAAGAATACCCTGACAGAATCATGAATACATTCTCTGTGGTGCCATCTCCTAAAGTATCAGACACTGTAGTTGAGCCATACAATGCTACCCTGTCTGTGCATCAGCTCGTTGAAAATACAGATGAAACCTTCTGCATTGACAATGAGGCTTTGTATGACATCTGCTTTCGCACCTTGAAGTTGACCACTCCAACTTATGGCGATTTGAATCATCTGGTTTCGGTAACTATGTCTGGTGTCACAACATGTCTCCGCTTCCCAGGCCAGCTGAATGCAGATCTGCGTAAATTGGCTGTAAACATGGTACCATTCCCTCGACTTCACTTCTTCATGCCAGGGTTTGCTCCTCTCACATCTCGTGGTAGCCAGCAGTATCGTGCTCTGACTGTCCCTGAGCTAACCCAGCAGATGTTTGATGCCAAGAACATGATGGCTGCTTGCGATCCTCGCCATGGACGCTACCTTACTGTTGCTGCTATGTTCCGTGGACGCATGTCAATGAAGGAAGTTGATGAGCAGATGCTGAATGTGCAGAACAAAAACAGCAGCTACTTTGTTGAATGGATTCCCAACAACGTGAAGACTGCAGTCTGCGACATTCCACCTCGTGGATTGAAAATGGCTGCCACTTTCATTGGGAACAGCACTGCTATCCAAGAGCTGTTTAAGCGTATCTCTGAGCAGTTCACCGCTATGTTCCGGCGCAAGGCTTTCTTACATTGGTACACTGGTGAGGGTATGGATGAGATGGAATTCACTGAAGCAGAGTCCAACATGAATGATCTGGTGTCTGAATACCAGCAGTACCAGGAAGCCACTGCAGATGATGAGGCTGAATTTGATGAAGAGGAGGGTGAAGAAGAAATAATGGAATAAGCCAGAGATTGTTGTTGTGCAGGAATTCATTTCAAGTATAGACAGTCACTTTTCGGTTATGAAAACAAAGATCTAAAGGAAAACCATCAACTTGAAGCACATCAAAACTAAAGAACAAGAGCAATCTTGAACTTAAAAAACAGTTTGCAGCACAGGATTGGATTTGAATATTGTCAAAGCTTTTCTCTTAGTTGTCATATTTTTTAAAATCTTTTAATTCATATGAATGATGTCACAGTTTTAATTTAATCTTGAGGTCACTCATTCTTTTTAAGCATAGGTGCAATTAACTGGCCACTGAAGTGCAATAAATTTAATATTGTACACCAAAGTGTAATTAATACGTTGCTAATCTAATCTATGTGCAATATAAAGAATCTTGCAGAAACAAAATCTTGGTGCTATGAAGGAAAAATATTGAATTTTCTTTTCTTTACTTTAAAAAAATGGAAAGATTGTCAGATTGCTGAAGAGGAGGAATTTGCAAAATACTTGTGCAATATTTGACAGAAATTTTTGTCTGGAAGGACATACATAAAAAAAATTCTGGCGTAATTATCTGTGGCCACTGATTCTCAGTGTCACAAAGTCCCAGAATGTCAACTTTGAAGAGATTATTGTTGTTAAAGCTTAACTGTTATGGAACCTTGCCATGGAATAAAAACTTATTAAAAGTAGAAAGGTTTTTTTTTCTTTAAACTTTCATCTCTTTCCTTTTTTTTTTTTTTTTAGGACATCTTTGATTTCAATTTATTTCACTGTAGCTTAAATTAAATAACGCAAAGCACTGTTTAGTGACATCATTTTATTACATAAAAACCCAAGTTTTCCATTTATTTATGCAGTTTCAATCTTTTCATAAAAATCTTGATGGCTCCTTGAAATTGGTTTTCATTTCGTCATTTGTAAAGAAATGTAAAAAAAAAAAAAGGTGAACAAAAACTACTGACTTCTGTTGATAATGTAATTACATCAGTCTCTACCACAACCAGTGGAACAATTTTGGACCAGGGAGATTTTCTCGGACTTAAGAAGTGAGTTGTCTCACTTATCCTACTCTTAATTGTCTTCCCTCCTTATGAGTAACCTACAGCTAGCAATGATTTATGGGGCTCTCCAAAGTCTGTGCAACACACCTAGACAAAACTCTTAATGGAAAATGTGTTAAGGGAACTTGGTTAAAATTGACAGGATCTCACACAAATTTGGAGACAGAAAGATTAACCTTTTGGTATCCACAATGGCAAAGTTTGAACGTAAGAATTTATGGCTGAGTGTATACAATGAAGAAATGGTAAGAGTTTCCCCCTATTATTAAATTCACTCAATCTAGATTGAGTGTGATAAAAATACCAGGAACAAAAATATCTACAGTTTTATTTGGAATATAAAGAACAGTCAACTAACCAATACTTACTCCAGTGCTATGCTGCTAAGACAATTAAGTCTACAATCATGCACTTCCTTTAAATCATAGGAAAGGGAACCTCAAAAATAATATACATATCTTACAGTTCTACAGTGCTGCTGCCTGGTGAGTTCAATCCACAAAAACTGTTTTGTTAACATCTGTTAAGGTTTAAAACTAAAAGTATGTTTTTTGACTTGGTTTAATTTTGAGGGATCTTTTTCTTAAACAAAGGGGTCCTCATTTTTTTAAAAAAAGATGGATAACTTTAACCGTCTGACTGATATTATGACCTTTGAGAATGGTAAAAAATGAAGCTTATGAAGGACATGATGAGTACACAGGTGAGTCACAAATGTCAGGTGAACTAAACCTTTCGCTGACCTGTTCAGTCCGGTTCTACAAAAAAGTTTTCTCTACCTAGTTCACAATTATGAGATGTTCCTAATTCTCTTTGATCTGCAAACTTGGTCAACATACACCAGAGGAAAAACTATTTCACCTTTTTCATCTGGAATTAATGAAGTGAAAAGAGAACTTTTTACATATTTATTACTTGCTGTACACCTACATACAGAACACTTTTGCACAGTAACACATATTTCACTCTTTTCAGTGAGCAAGGCCAATTCATTTCACTTTCTTCTGTTGTCTAGCTCTATAGATATCATGAACTGGTGGTACCAGATTACTGTCCTCGTCATCGCTGTCATCCCCTCCTGCTGCCTTGCGTTTCCTACCAGACGCCATTTCAGCTGACAGAGCGGTGCCTGAGTCCATGTCTCCATTTACCATGGGTGACTGGGGCGGGGCATCAGGGAGCTTTAAGTCCTTCATGTGTTCTATGAATTTGTCCATGAGAACAAAAGGACCCTGGAAATGGGAACGAATACTGACATGTTAATGGAACAAGCTTTTCAAGAAAGTATTCTGTGTTATATTTTGTTACCCCTACCTTCTGATCTGTTGTGTATTGGTAAAATATTCACAGGTAAATGCTTTAAAGAATATGTCTGCAGTGTTTGCTTTCACTTTACCATGACAATAGTAAAAACTCATCAGATTTTAATGTTTTCATTGATGGGCATGTGAAGACAAAATAGATGTGTATGTCTGTGGCCATCCCTGATTCCATATTTGTGCTTGGAGCAGTAAACTCAAACTACACACTGCTGAATATCATAGACCAATAAAGGTGATTAAATAGTGGTTTGAAAATGAATAAGCTGGGACACATCAGATCAGAAGCTCAGGGTACAATTTGTCCAAAGCCATTTTTTCACATGATCATTATTTTTTCAAATGTCAAGAATACCTTGATCCTTCTTTAATTCCTTATACACTGATACTAAATACTAATGTCCATAATAGATTAAAACAATGAGGAAACATTTTATTATATCGAACCAGCGTGACATTATTTACCGTGAAACAATCTGGTGGTGGGATCATTGTGAGTAACTGTGCGGCAGCTGGGGGTGGGGGGAAAACCCCTCCCTCTACAGGGTGTGCACCGGTAGCTGAAATAATAGTGTATAAATCATTATTACATTGTCAGTTAAATACCACACCAGGAATAGGATTTGGTGGCTTACTCCAACTATTCCATTCAAGTTCAGGCCCTAGTGCTTTTAAAAAGGTTTATAATCTAACCTAATTTTAAACCTTACAAGCATCTCACATATTAAACCATATTGTTCAAAATATGCTTCTGGGATTTGAAATACTTACGAACTATGGCTTTGGGTTTAAATGGTATCATTTGAGATGTGTCTGGTTTTGGATATTCTGGTCTTTTTACTGCCTCTTCTTCCTCAGTTGCTAGTAATGTTTGAGGTTCATTTCCCAGCTGCAGTGGCACATGGAGGACACTCTGTTTTACTAGACTCTGTAATCAACAAACATATCATGTGGACTTATATTTTGATCAATGAAAGCACTCAAGATAAGTGGACTCTGATGTTATGCCATGCCACAACAAAATACTATTAAATTCTATCAAAGGGACAGACTGATCATTGTATGTAATCTCCTTTTCATACCTTATTACTTAAATAAACGAAATTAATTGTACATCTACATAATTCCAGTACAACATATAATATATAACTCATCTTCATTTTTTATAGATTTTAAAATTATATCAATAAAAGCATGATTATGTAACATAAAATATTAATGAAAAATAACAGCAGGAAAATCATACCAAAAATGCTATTGTTTAAATGTTTTCTACCTGATATCCCAAAGCTCTCAACTCATTTTGAGAACAGGGGAAAAGGTCCATGTATTTGTATCTGTCTATTAGTTGAGCTGTCTCTTTGCCTTCAAATTCTTTAAGCTGAATAAGAAACGGAATTTTTATTTAGTGGTGCATTCAAGACATTTGAAACTGGTTGCAAAAACTGGGTAGCTAAAATATTGTTATATATAGAAAAGCTTGACAGCACTGAAAAATATTTTACCACCTAACCAAATGATAAAATTTCAAGTCTGTTCGCTTCAACAATTTATCATCTAAACCAGACTATTTTATTTATTCATTATCATTTTAGAAACTTGTAGTTAAAGAGAGAAAGCTTTTCAAAATGAAGAGAATTAAAACTAACCTTCTCTAATACTACTGCTCTCCTTTTCTCAACCTTGAGAACACTTGCCAAGTCTCCAACATTTGACTCAAATTCTAGAAACTTCCACCAAACTTCCCTGTATGGAGAGCAACATGGTGCAGATTACAACACTGCATTCAGTTAACTTGTAATATCAGTATGTAAATGTGTTTGTTGCAACAATTTAGTCAAGTTGCATTAAGTGTACCTGTATTGGCTAAGGCTGTGTGAGGTTTGGATGTGATCTGAATAAACTCTAGCAAACAACTTACTTTAAAGAATTAACTTCAGTTATATTAGATTTAAATCAAGTGAAAGGCTTTACCTTTGTGTTTCATACATTGATGTGAGATTAGAGTGTAAGGTTTCCACGGTGTCATACTCACATAGAGTTCTCGGGGGACAGAGGACCAGACAAAACCTTCTCTATCAGCACCCTTGTGTTGTTATCCTCTGAAATGAAAATATGAAACCAGTGGACATGCTCTGAGTGCTAAATCATAACACCTTTAAGATATAAGTACGATTTGTTTTACTGGTCAAATAAAAATAATCAAAATGTATGTAGCTTTTAATACTGAAGTAGTATTAACCGACAAGATTATGTGTTCAAAGCAATGCCAAAAAGCAATAATCTTAGCAAAGACCTCTCGTATGACATGTAATTACATAAATAACAGGTAAATTATTTCAAAATAACTAAATTAAAATGCTTTATGATTTGATATCAATATGCTTACCATTTAAATGTGACATATAGTCTATGTATGCTAAACAGTATTCGGGTATATGACCATACTTTTTTAAGCCTAACTCGAATATTTTGTATGTAACATTTTTGTCCTGGAACAAAAATAAAAGCAACATTACAATATAAAATGACAGTCCTAGTTAATTTTGTTTTTTTTTTTTTATTGAGCTCATTAAATTTTAAATGGTTTCAAAATCACTTCATGCATTTAAAAGAAAAGATTGAATTCTATGATCAGTATTTAAGCATCTTGAAAGGAAATAACTAAAATATACCATCATTTTTTTTACACCTTACACTGATAATAAAAGAACGGATTTCTTTCTTCTTTTTGTGCTCAAAAACTCTTTTAGTACAAACTTTATCCTTTTTCAGCAATATTCAACCAGAAAAAAAATTCTGATTTTTGTAAGAACAATTCTCTCATTTGAAATTTCACATCTGGCACTAGGGCTCATTTTATGGTTGTACCTTACTGCAGTAATATTCCATTAAAGCAGCTGCAACATACACGTGATATGTTGTTCTAGAATCTTCTCGTGCCATCTTGAATACTGTGCGTGCTGTCTTGATACCCTCAGCCCTTCGTGCAAACCTCATGTACTGGACATAAACCTGTAGAATGGCATAAGTCGGGTTTCTGTGATCATTCAATTAAAAATGGCATAAATGTATTTAAAGGGATAAATTTTAAGTTTGCCACTTATCTTCTGAACAAAAAAGTGCAAATTGACTTGCGAAGTTAAAGTATTTGTTAAATATATTGATAAATTTGTAAACACCATCTTGTTAATTTGACTTTTTGAAAGGTTTTTCTATTACAACTCTCAAACCTACCAAAGTTGGGTCTATATCTGGAATCACTATGAGTTTCTTGTAAATGCTATGAACCTTTTCATGTCGCATCCTTCCCTGAATTTCAAAATAATCAATTTATAAATCGCACAATCACAACAATACCAACCAATTACCAAAAACAGATAAATAAGAACTCAGACTAAGGGACCGTTCACATGGAAAGTCTATTTTCTAAAAATCTATTTCCTATTCGCGGTATCTTGTGATCACGGTTTGTGCCCTGAAAATCCCATGGCGTAATTACTGGCAGCGCGAGCCAGTTACTTCCAAAGCTGTAATTAATTCTTGGCTGTGCTCGGAGTGATCACAAGATACCGCGAATAAAAAATAGATTTTTAGAAAATAGATTTTTCATGTGAACGGAGTCTTAATTCCATGCTAATTATTACAGCTGCTCAAAACATTTTTATTTTGAAAAAAATCAATAAAACTGATTGTTGCTGACAATAAGCCACACTCTGGTGTGAGAACAATCTGATCACTTTACCTCTTCAAAATCTGCATAGGAAAAGTGGAGAAGCATATTGGACTTCAGAAGTGATGTGATTGCCCTCTCATACACCGATGCTGCCTCATCAGCAAACAGCTTCCCAGCATTCTGATCCTGAAATGACCCAGCGCTCTAATCATTTCCTTGAATTTTTTTTTTGATGTAATGGAGGTTATTTTCTAAGAAAAGGCACTAAGATAATTGTGTTATTTCGCTTTCGTTCAATATTCTTTCACTTACACAACTGCATGTGAGGAGAATCAGTTACATGACACATGATTGCCTTGTCCCCTTTCCTTATCTATATTCTTTATCAATATTTCACACCTTAGCAAAAAGTGTCCTGTAATACGAACACCCCGAGTTTCAGAGATTCACCCTAGTTACTGAAAATGGAAGATGAGCATGGTGATAACAGAGTTGAGTTACCAAAAACTCAGGGCATCTCTAAGTGAACAGGCATATTTTCTGGCACATGTGTGCATATATGTAAGCACATGCATGTCTGAGGGGAAGGCTGCCCTACATACTTACCCCTTTCTCTGTCAATATTTTGCTGGTTTCAGACAGGTAGGAAGCAGCTTCATACCAAACATCAGGGTGATAGCCCAGGCACAGTAAACACTGCTCATAGGCAAACATCACTAAAAAAAAAGGTAAACAGGTTAGGCCCCTTCCAATAATTCTAGTTCTATAGGCAAGAAACTCTGATCTAAACTGTCTTCAGTATATTCAATTTGGTTCACTTGAGTTACCAAACACTTTGATCTAAACTGTCTTCAGTTTACTCAATTTACTTTACTCTTTGTTTCTTCATTTCAAAGAAAATAGTTTGATGCCATGCTAAAATGATTTTAATATATATGATACCATATTAAACCTCAGATGAGGTGGTCTACCTCTTTTAGCAATCAGAGCCTGGTCTTCAGTCCTTAGTGGATTGCTCATTTCCCAGTGTATGTACTTTTTCCAGTGTTCAACCTAAAACACAGGACCACAACAAAACTATCTTTTCTGTGTGCTTCACTTCTTCCATTGTAATCCTTCAATGGAGTATGTATTACTTAACTCCCAACATTATTGTTCATAAATTCATGAAAATACACATACACTTACATGTAAGTCACAAAAACTAGTCCCCTTGAGTGGCTAAAATAATGCAGTGCTTCCCTTTTATCAAGAATATTCACTGACATTGGAAGAATTAAAGCATTAGTTATCTTTTTCCAAAACAAAAAATTCTCTGGCACACATTTGGTGTCCACACACTTTAGTTGCATTTGAATGCAGTGACATCAATGATTATTTTTCAAAGAGCCCCTTTGAGGGAAGAATAACCTGTTTAGCTTCATCTGGAGTATTCTGAGGTGGCACTGATACAGCATTCCTATTCAATCCTTTTGTCACCAGCTCATACTCTTTTGCAACCCTGCGAGCATTCATATAATCTCTCCCTCTGTCTTCTGTCATCTTCTTGGCTATTAGAGGATTGATACTCTGGAACCATAATAAAGTTTAATTTATTTTTTTCTTTACTTTTAACTTCTACAATACATGCCACACATATAAAAGCATATAATAGCTTGCCTACATGTTTATCAACATATCCATTATACCATAACCAATTTTCTCTGTTACTTTCTTGTTTTCATTTTCATCCAAAGATCTCAACTTGGGGGTCTGGTACTCACATTTTCATAAGCACAATAATCTTTCCACAGTTGTTCTATATTGACCATGGGGTTAACACAACCTCTTTGGTAAACTTTCCTGACTGCAGCTATCCTTTGGTTTTCTGCATATGATCCTACTGCTTCCCTGATTTGAACACATAATTCTGATTAGTTTTTACTGTAAGTCTGTTAAAAATACTTCAGATGGGGATAGAGAAGGAAATAGCTAAATATGTATAATTTTATGGAAAGGATAATATAACTTATAAATGATAAAATAACAATGCACTGTAAACTATTCTTTGTGGACGTCTTTCTTTTTCAGAAAAAAATTCTAGATCTTATATTTACCATTTAAATATAGCCAGAGGTGGCATTCAACATTCAACTGAATATAGGATTTAATTCAAAGTCCTATTACTGGATAAAAATTTCAAATGTATAAAAAAATATTTCACTGCAATCTAATATTAATTAAAAGTAACCTTAAAATACTTACACAGATTTGAGGAAACTGATGTAGTCTGCCCAGACCTGGTACGACATTATGTCCATGCCAATCTTATCCAGAGCAAAGTCGTATGCCTGTGCCATCTTTTCTCTGAATTCAAAGCACTTTTATTAGCATTGAGCCATATTTAGAATTGTTTTCATCTAAGACAAACACATATATATAATCTGAGCTTCAAGTCCAATGTGTACCAGCTTCTCTTCAAATTTTCAAATCTCAAAAATGTGCATAAGCATATGCTAATGTGGGAATTTGAAAATGGGAAAAGGTCACTCACACCCTCTTTTAAAGTCAGGATAAAAAACAAGAAGGTCATGTTCTGTGTGAAGCTTCAATTGATTAAGAGGGGCTATTTTTGCTGTAAAACAATTAAACTTTAAACTTTACTGCTTTTTCAAAATTACATTCCTTATGAATCACTCAAGTTTTGGGGGTGATGTCCTCATAGACACAGGGTTAGGTTTCTACTTTTATGAATACATAAAAGTTGTGATTTTTCCTTAAAATCAGGTATACATACCTGTAGGAGGGAAGACTTCCTTTCGCTTCTTTTATATAATTAAGATACGTTTTCCATAAGTCAATGTTTAAAATCTTGATAAGACATCTTTGGAATAACTGAAAGGAAAAGAAAAACACTCCATTCAATTAATTGAATATACTTTTGACTGGCACTATTTTTATATGAAAATAATTCACCAACTAAATAAAAATAACATATTTATAAAGTGTTTCATATAACAATTCTGGTGTTATGCTCCCATGTATGTTTTATATGCGTAAGAAAAAAATTAAGTGATCATCTTACCTTTTCTACTTTTTCATAGTTTCTAAATTTCATCTGAAATTAAAAAAAAAAAGATAACATAAGCCTATACATACACTAATTTACATGAAATAAGGAGCCTGTACCAAAAACTGTTTCCCCCTCCATGTTCTAAGAATCTAATTGCTCAAAGCAGAAATGGTGTCCAGAAACAGAACTAATTTACACAATTTTACTGGCACTTGGTATGAGGGCATGTCTTAACGTCACAAACTGATTTAGCTAATTAACACCTTTCACAACTTCATCATCCAACAAATTCAATTCAGAAATGAATACCACAATCACACACATAGAAATGAAATAGAATTATATTAACATCCAAGTCTAAAATGTTGACAAAAACATTCATCTACGCTGGTAAACAAACTTGTTCAAATATCTTTACATTACTCTCTGTCCCTACCTTTTGGTACCCTACTCCCC